CGCGCGAAATAACGAGCAACGGTATGAATAACGCGCTGCGCGATCCAACGTTCTAAAATTACTGCCTGCAAAATCGCGAACTGGCGTGCGTGCAGCGTCCGTGCTGAATCCCGCAGATGAGTTGATTTTGGAAGCGGAGCGAGATAAGTCTTGAATGTCTCGCTAAAGTAGGCGCGCCGTCGTCATCGTAACTCCCGCTCGCGCTTTTGCGTGCTCCCGAGTCGCTGCCAAAGTGGCCGGCTCGTAATAACCTTCGATTGTAGCGAGGCCAGTTCCGAAGACACAGAGAGGGATGATAAGGTTGAATGCATGGTGCACGGCGTGACAGGGAAGACCCGACGAAAACAGCTAAATCACGAACAGGACGCCCTGGGATACGCAGGATTAGGAAGCATCACGCGAATTTAGTGCCGTCGTTTGGCCCGCAGACTTTACGCTTAAATCTCCTCCGTGCGAACTTGCTTCATCTTCATTCTAATCGATGAAGCGAACGAGACAAAAAACACGGCGCTAAATCCGAAGGAGCGACACTGTCGGCCGACATTTCGCGAATCAGGAGGATTCATCCCTTTCAGCTCGCTCGCGCCCTTAGCTGCGAACAATGGAGATGTATGGCGCGGAATAACGAAAGCCGCCAGGCGTATCTCTCGCGATGCTACATTTAACCGGGCAGGATCACAAGTGNGGGGGGGGGGGGGGAGAACTCGCGGAATGATTCATCCGCGAGTGAGGTCGAAGTCAAGGGTTAACGCGGTCTGGGGCGTGACATCACGCGTTGCAATACTGACTGGGATTACCGCGAGGAGGAGCATTATATTCAGCCAGGTGCGCCCCGCCAGAAACGAAACGACAATCTCCAGGCAGTCGGCCAACGTGAAACGACGGGGATCGTAACGTGAGTTCGAGGAGGACGGGGCATGAGAAAGAGGAAAGAAAGAGCAAGAAAAAAAAAACGGACGGAAGGAAAGCGAGAGAGCATGGCGGAAGTTCCCTCGTTGGGAAAATATACATTCGCTCTTTCGCGGAATTTGGATTATCGGAAAAAGGGAACGCGCGACAAAGAGAGAATGAATTCCCTGCAACGCGCAGCGCGGCTCGCCGCGTCGATTCGGTCACTGAAGAGCGTCGCAACCGTAGCGATACTTGTTTACCCAGTTAAAAGCCCGAACTATGCGGAAGAAGAAGCCACCGCGCGGCAAAATAAGTCGCAATCTCTTACGCTGCTCTCTCCTACCTTGCGAAAGAGACGATGGGTTACGTCACGATACGATGTGTACGGGAAACGCGAGAAGTTTATTTTAAAGCGCAACGCGCGGTTACGTTTAGCGTCGTTTGTTCTATCACTACGGGTAATGTAGGGAAGAACCCGCGGAACACGACGCAGATATTTCGCTTCTCGCACGGTGTGTTTAAATTCATACCTCAGATCCTCACGCCGGGCGTTCAAATAAAGAAGAGCGCGATATTTGAAAATGACAAGGCTGACCGCGATCGAACGGATAACTACGATACTTTACGATGTTCCACGTTCGCAATAATAGTAGCCGTGGGCGCGTCGGACATTGCCGATTTATTTATAGCCGACGGTCGGCGACATTTCACCGGCAACATATTGTAATCCAAACTCTAACGGAATTCGAGACGCGGTCATAAATGTTCGCGCTACTGCGCGCGAATTCTTCCCGCGATGTGCCGTTGTATTTCGTTGCCGATATGCAATTTGTTACCACTAGCTGCGGATCGGCAGTGGCGGCAGGTACGCCCGTTCACGCTCGGTCTTTTCACGCTCGTGGATCTACATATTTTTTACATCGCGCCCTCTCTTTTACAGGCGCGCATATATCGTCACTTTGCACGGACGCGCCTAATAAAAATCAATAGCCGTTAAAAAAAAAGAAGACTTATTGACGTTACGTAAAATAGCGTCGGTGGGTATTACGATGTATAACAAGTGAGAAACGTCGTATCGTTATGTACGAGTTCCCATCGACGTCAAAATAATACATATTAATCAAGCGTTCCGGTTATTCTAACTCTGAAATATTTATTCATTTGACATGGGAACGGTTCAACTATCAGAAATAGTGAAAAAAGTGAGTTTTTATTCGTGAAAAAATTAGAAAATAGAGAATTAACTTCAAAAAAAGTGAGTAGAAAATGAACTTTCCAAATAATATGCACGGTAAAAGTTAAACCTGTCTATTATATTATTCCTCTGAGAGATTTTAAAAACACTGATCTTATAAGGAAAGACAATAAAGAGCAAAATTTGAATTTCGGAGAATAAAAATTTTACATGACACACAGGACCTAAAATTTTACTTTATAAGCAAGTCTTACGCGCATATTCGCAAAACTCTTCGTAACAAAATTCGTAGTGTTCTATCAAACATAATGAAATAAAACAAAAACAATACTTTAGAAATAAAGAAAGATTCAGAATTACAGGTTTTTCCGTTGGAAGCAGCCCAGTTAATCAGCTTCTCAAGAAGAATATTTAATAATATTCAATTTAAAGAAAACACAGTCAGTGCGTTAATGATTGTCATTATCTGCTTTTCTGACAGATCTGATAAAAACTCGGTGACTTATCTATTTAACAATCAATGCGATTTAGCCTGAAAATTGCATGCACTGCGTAACATGACGCTTCTTGAGCGTTTAAATTGTACACTCATCAATTGATGATATCCAGTGACGTCCAGCAGTTCTAGTTCAGCGTCCAGCGTTTTCGGTGGACCAGTTTCCGCGTAGCGTCCATTGTTCCGCGTTGATTGCTTTCCACTCATTTCATTTCATTACACTCGCGATCGTTACAACGATATTTTACGATTTTACGAAAAATACGATAAATTACGACATTTCAAAATCATTCGTGTGTAAACAAACCGCGAATCAAAGACTACGCCGCGTTCGATGAAAACGAGGGGAAAGAAGAAAACATTCCGTTTCGCGGGCGATTGTATTGTGTCAACAAACGAGATTCTTGTTTTACGAGAATTCCAACTCGTAATAGAAATGATAAACATATCGTATTAAACGGTGAATTTAACAGTGAATTTCGATCAGAGCGATATTATAATACTGTCACATATGAAAATTTGAGAAATTGACGATTGCGAGATTAATCAGAAACAAAGCAAGTAATCGCGAATTCCGCGAATTTTGCGTTAATACGGCGCAATTTTGAAGCGTAATTTTGATGCGCATGTTAAATTGCTTGAAAGAATTGGAGAATCACGTTGAATAAATTGAAGAAAATATTAAGAATATTAACATTATTCTTCTCTGGTAAATGATATATGATTTAAAACGATCCCCTAATTGTTTTTAACGATATCTTAATGGACAGCATAAACACATATGTGCAAAACTCTGAGAGAGAAAAGTATTTGGTATTTATGATTGCAATGACACAGGGGAATAATTACAGTCAGAAAACTTGTTTTTGTAATAAATATTTCGCTTCTTTCTTTCTCAGTTTTCGCTTGCAAACAGTCGAGGAATCTCAAGAGTACGACAATAGTACGGTGTTTAAACTAATAATAATATCTTACCTCCGGCCGACCCTACTCGGCCCGGATCCTTCAGTTCAGCATCCGGGTCCACCGCATCCGGTATATGGCCGCAAGTTCTGGTAGACTGAAACATAAAGTAAGCTTCCTCATTAGTTATACTGGAAAATATCAACGTATGAAGAATAAGGGAACTCGACGCTATATATTTTTCTTCAAAATTAACAAAATGAAGATAGATACCCTTAAGATTATAGTATGTGGCGATTGATTTGAGATGATTAGCATTACGATAACACACACGCGAATACATACACAAAAACGTGATATAATGCGTCTCACGTATATCATGATTGAAAAATTGGGAATCACGCTCTCCCGATTCGCTCAGCCTCACTTCAAAGACGCTGATGATGATGTATGTTGCATACATATGATGATGTTCTCGAATCCGCGTGACTTTCGACTTTCGAGACACGCTCGAGAGCGTGTTGTGTTATCTGTTCAGTAATTGAACATGCTTTACCTCGAAATATTAACATCGTGTGTGTGTGTGTGTGTGTGTGTGGTAGTATAATTTTATAATATTTAACTGCCCCTTACATTCAAATTATCAAAATACATAATTTCCACGATGCATTTACGTTACAGCCGTCGAAATAAGCAATGATTCGCATCGAGATAATTGATCACGATCACCGAAACAAAAGAAACAACAACGAGATTGCGCATCTTTGTTATACGTGAAAATACATTCTAAGTTAGTTCACCGTCAGCGCGCAATATATAAAATATTTCGATCAATTAGTCGCAGCAAGCTCCTCCGACTTTTCCAATTTGCACACACGTCACACGATTCGCCGTGTAATAATGACAATTGGCCGTGGCCAATTTGCACCGATGATTAATTCAGTAATATCGCGCGACAGAATTATTTTCGATACATATTTCCCGTTCGTTTACGCGTCTAGAAATGAATTGACAATCGCGATCGACACACGTATCGTCATTCGATATATAAAGAGAGACATTTTAATTAAAGCTCTATTCTGTGCACTCGGAGCACAGTACGAGGCGGAAAATAATCAGTTATTACAAATGAGATACTTCAACCGTGTAATTCATCGCTATTAACGCATATATGTATATACTATTTCCTTCATATTTTCGTTTCATTAAACGACAGAATATTTTTAATCATAACATACGCGCGCTTCCGCGACACGCGTGACATTCGCAAGGTGTGGTCGCATTGAAAAAAATAAAAACCTATACGAATTACGCAAAATTATTGCTCCCGGCGCAACATGTTTGCATTCATCGTACTTGTTGCTGTCGCGTGACGACCGCGAGCCGTAGGCAGCCCGAGAGAGAGAGAGAGAGAGAGTTAAATTACATCCGTGAGAGACGTAAAAGCGTTAGGTTGCGCCGGCTGTTAACCCGACTGTAATAATAACAGCTTGTGATTGATTACCCGTGTTCCAGGCGTACGTCGATTTGGTGAAGGCCTGGGGCTGGAAGAGTTTCACCATTATCTACGAGAACAACGAGGGGCTCGTGCGATTGCAGGAACTTCTGAAAGCGCACGGACCCAGCGAATTTCCCATTACGGTCAGACAGCTGAGCGAGGGATCGGAGTATCGGTGAGTGTGTTCCGTCTGCTTTTATTCTTTCGCGGCACACTACAGTTTCCTTCCTTCCTTCCTTGTCGAGGTAAGCTCGCGGCATTAAGCTGTCGCGGTATCCCGTCCGCCTATCCCATGTCCCTCATTCGTTATACGACGACTTATAGACTTACTTCGTACATACAGCCCATGCGAGAGACGTTCTCTCTCAAATTAATTAGATCTATCGATTTCGATCGTGCGTTACTCTGATCGGCTGTCCGGATTATCTCCACCTGCGTCGACGAGACCGCGGTAACGACTGCGCTATGGACGAAGAACGTCGCGCCAAATTGGCCGCCGCCTCGCCCGCTATATTTTACTTTCCGCGCGAGACCGGTTTAGATTGAGACGGTCCCGACTCCTGAGTCGGCGAGAATCCTCCGGAGAGCCTCCCGCGCCTTATCACAATTTATGTATCAAATTTCACGCTTTCGGACACGTCCGACTGCCGTATTCTCGCATGTGGGAGTCATCTAGATTCTCGTCGACGAACCCGCGCTTATTTTTTCATTAGCCGCGATTACACATATTGCACCGTTCGGTTAAAATAATCATATTTCATAGTAAAGAATTTACATAGGCTGCTCGCACAATATCGTGATTACAACCCACAGTAACATTTATTACATATATAGTTTTCTCGATTGAAATTTTTGTAATTATACTATCACAGTTCCAAGTACCGTCTTTCTCCCAAAGTGGGATTCTTTCTGCACGCTTCATCGACGGGCTGATGAAACCGGAACCGTAGCGTAGTTGTCACCGGAAGCTCGGTTATCTCTTACTGAAATTTACTTCCGAAGTTCAGCCTCTGATCGATCTTGCAGCAATGAGGATCGATCGCTCGTGTTCGTCCGAAACGGGGCGTACAGAGGAGTGCGATCGATATTATCGTCGCATTAACGGCGGGCTCAAACACCGGTCGTATCAAGCGGCGCACCGCACGACTGCGCGCTGCGAATGGCTCATTAAGTTTGAAGCCGCGTGTTAGCGTGTAACGCTTACTGCGACGATGATCTTCTTAAGCAGTCACGATGTGGACGTGGGGTATCGATCGTCGGGGCTAACACCGCCGGCGGGAAACTGTGTCAACTGTGGGGACCAATGGGCGAATCTTCTCCCTCGGCGTTCCATTCTGCCCGATAACCCCTTATCCTTTCGCCGACGATCGCACCCAAACTGCCTCGAGGAACGCCTCGCAATTGCGGCGCGCGCGTGTAACCGAGCGTCTAATTAAAACACACTCCGTTAACGCAAAGTGTGCTTTATGCGTCAAATAAAGAGAACGATTTCGGTGTCTGCTTGCAAACTCTTCGAAGCCTTGAATCACGTGAAGACTCGTGGGCTTTGATCCTTCGCAAGCGGAGAAACTATATCGAGAATTTCGCGTGTGTTCTCGCGAGAGAATTTGAAATCATTAAAAAATGGTAAGAAGGTAGTGAAATAAATGTATAGGTACGTAATTGTTTGATAAATACTAAATATATGAGTGACCCCCTGATGCGCCATCGAAAATACGGCATTAATGGGCGATACATCCTTAATAGAGGAACATTTGAACGGTTACTTAAACATCTTGAAACATCCTTTCTTCGCTATTCCGGCGACCGGTCACAGCACAATCTCGACTTCTGAGAGATTTAAGGAAGTATACCTATGCTTGTACCTTGCATCGCACCCCGTTTTATACGTTCCGCGGTAAAAGTTTCTCGTAAGTTGCATTATTCATAAAGTCCATCCGCGACAGTGACTTATTGCTATCGTCCTACAGCTGGAAGGGCAAAACGATAGGGATTTGAATAAATTCGGTTAGATTTATTTCTAAACGTGCGGCGTATCCAGTCTTAAAATTCATCGCTCGCTACTTCTTCTTGCTTCTCAAGTGAGGCGACCAATTTACGAGGCTTCCGGTGGGTCGCACATGCGACACGCATTTCTTTCCTCTTACGGCGTAACGAGACCCTTCCGGGATCTTTTCGCGCGATAATACTGTTTGCCAATAAATCCGTGCTCGTTGATAAATCACCGTCTTACCATGTAATCCATGCAGTCTCCTTCATGCAAATCAGACTAATAATAAGTCGCCCGGCTCAATCGTGTTTTTTCAAGATGCTGAAAGGCTAACTTCGACTTCATACTGTATTTCCCGGCGTGGACGTAGGAAATGAACGACGCTCGCGGAGCGTAGCGTAGCCGCGAGGCGGAAATGAAGTCGTATCTTATCTCGACCTCACTCTCTCTCTCTCTCTCTCTTTCTCTTTCCTTCTCCATCCACTCACTGAGATTCGTAAAGTGAATAATTCCCAGACCATTCATTTCGGCGCTCTGCTTTAACGCGGCTCTCTCTCTCTCTCTCTTCCGCGGTATGGACAAAAGGAGCGAATGAAGCCCACGTGGAAACAGGGACGGCGGTAGCGCGGCGGCGAAATATAAAACCGTCTTTTATTTTTCGAGACGAACGGATGCGGAGAGAAAGAGAGGGTGAAAGGGACGCATCCGAACTCTTCCCAAGCGAATACGGTAAAATGGGTTAAAATTGCGCCACCGGGATCCACAGCTAGGGAGGATCCCGAGGAGTTTGACGAGGGAAGGTCGCGACGTGGAAGCCCGGCAACTTTGATAAGATAGGACTGAAATTGTGATCCTCGGTTGAAGCTCGAGGTACATGAATATCGGATAGGTTTCAAAGCGGCGAGATAAGAACGCGCGACTGTACTCGCACGCATAACAGCAGTGATTTCTGTTAGAGTTCGCGCGAGCGTGAGATAATCTTCGGCTGTTTCAGGACAGCCGAGGGTGCTTGATTCGCGAGCGAGTCGACAGAATCACGCTTTATCGCGCTTTGGCGCGCGCGAGAGGGGCCAGATAAACTGATACGATTGCGGAAAAATCGCGAGGGAAGATACGCGGTTTTACCGCGTCCGTGTACAGCCTGACGATTGAAGCGCGCTCCCCGCGCAACAGTTACCGGCACTTCGCAGTGCGCAGCTGACGGTGATATAAAACTTTATCTTCAGCGAACGCACTCGAGCGCGAGATGACCGCTCCGAACGGCATTCAACCCGTTCGAGGTAACAGCGCGCTGATTTTTCGCAAACCCTCCGCGCAACAAGTGCACCGTCGAAAACAAGAAGTGGGGAAACTAAATCACTCGGCCGGCGAACCCAAGTGTGCGACGTAATTGCTCTGGAATAAATGAAAAAGAAGATGGCCGGCTAATGTATACTTCATACTCGCATCTGATGACGTTCGGGGCAAAATCGTTCCTCTCGGAACTTGATTGACGTTCGAAAAACTCGGAATGAAATTGCGCCTTTCTCGTTATAGCGGACACAGAAAATTTCTTGAAACGGAAGAGATCGTTAAGCCAATTATACGCGATAAATCTACGATTTATGCGCTTTTATGCCCAGGTAATTCCGATTTCAGCGCTGCAGCCGTTAAGGGATTTCTCTCCTGACGCGAAAAGCATAATGGCCATAAAATTTCACGTCTGCCAAGCTAGTCTCCCTTCTCAACTAATGCAAGATGAAAAAAATTTCTTTAAAGTGGAAAAGATCGTCTAACCAATTGTGTGCGAGAAATCTGTGCGATTTTATATCCAGACAATTCCGACCATGATGGGGATTAATATCGCGTGTTTCTCCGTATACAAGCCGAAACACCGTTACGAGATATCAGCGGCGCTTGATCTTCCGCAAATTCGAGACTCGACTGCGGGTATGTCGAGCGATAACTCAAACGGTCTATATTGAAGTCCCGAAGTCGATTCTAAGATTCCGTACGGCAAACTGCGAAAGGTCGTCTTCGCCGCTAAGCCACTCGCCTAATGGAGAGAAACTGGAAGATGGAAGGAAGCCGCGCGCGAGGGCTGGTACGGCATAAGTAATTGAAATGTTTCGAAACCGGTCGTGTGGAAACGCTCGGTTTCGAGATATATACGCGAATGCCGCCTGCAGTTGTACGACCAGCATGATGATAAGAAGCTCCTCTCTCGAGAAGACTTCAAACGCGTCGGCCAATCCGCCGCCACGAACTTCGGGATAGTTTCCGCTCGCGCACCGGTCCGGCAGATCTTACGTCACGTTTCCCATACTCAGCCGCCGTCCGATTGATCAAAGGAACAGCGCGCGGAACTCCGTGCGCAAGTTTTTCTTTGGATGAAAATGTAACGCGCTCTTGCTCCGGGATCGCGGGTGGAAGCGGGATTATTCCACGCTGCGATGTGTTTACGCACGACCCGTTATCTTAAATGGCGAGCTCATTTTTTCGGCACTTTAATAATGAACCCATGAATCTGTGCCGTCTGATTTTTATTTTATGTTGTTTCAGAAATTCTAAGAAAGTTCACGCATTTTTTGCAACATCTCTGATAAAGTGAAGAACAATTTAACTTAAAGAAATTAAAGTTTAAATGTGTATTTTATATTAATAATAGGAGTAGAATCATAATTACTATCTTGTGTCCGGAATCTAAAAAGCCGTTCTGTTTGTGATTGACGACAAACCACCGTATAATTAGAAAATGTGAAAAAAATTTAGACAAAGATTCGGGGCACAAAATATTGTTTTAAAATCGCAAGTCAAAGAGGGAATAATGTTTCTCCCTTTTTTCTCCCCGTTTTCCAAATATATATTATGTTAGTTACTGTGTGTGTGCTCAACGCGTTCAATTAATCCCTTTTCACATTTCGACCCATTACTTTTTTATATCTGAATCAGCGTTGACTGCAATAAAAAGAAAAAAAAAAACGTTGGAAGTTAAAAATTCAAATAAGCTTATGAAAGCGCATAATTTACAGCGTGTATATTCGGTGAATATAAAATATCGTAATATTACAACCGTCGTATTTACAGAAAGTAGCTGGAAAGCAGTTCAATCCACCGATATTAATTATAACGCGCAGCGTATCTCATAAAAATACACGTGGTAAGTAATTTAAGCTATGATAAACGCAACGTGCAATTAAATCGCA